AGGTCAACCCTGACACTAAAACAAGTAAGGAAAAAAACGGGAAGAAAAGACAAATGACACAGAGACCTCTATCAAAGTATTCCAAAACTATATGCAGTTAAGGTTCAGCTACAGCTCATGTGTCTAGTAATTGAATACAATAAAATAATTAAGAAGGATTTGGTAATGATTAAGGAGTAAAGAAGGTTAAGGAGGGATAAAGAGATAAAAGCTCTAGTACAATGATAAAGAAAACAATGAAGATAAAGGGTGAACACAAACATCCTCTCCTATAAACAAACAAACAATCACACTCACTGCAATATTTGTCCAAATCCCATTCACCTTCACATATACTCACATCTATATATATATACATATATTCACTCTTTTAAATATACATGTATATATGTATATTGTTCAACCCTTCTTATATTTATAACATATTCTTTATGATTCAATATAATTTTAGAAATTTGTCCTAGGCGTTTAAACTCCAGCTAATTGTGTTTTTCTTTTAAACACCAAATAATTTATTCGGATATTTAAAACTAGAATAGTTTTTTGGTCATCGGTATTCATAAATCAAGCATAAAATTAGTATAGCTAGCTGCTAAAGTTTATTAGTACGAAAAACTTGCATTAGTTGTTAAATTAATGTGACCAAAATTACTCTTTAGTTGAAAACCAGCACTACAGCGTATTGTTTGGTCACTCCCAATATAAGAGCCCACGAACAAAATTTGGATACAGTTGTCATCTTTCCATTTACTCAAGGGCCTGTTCAGTAGTGATATGGAAATAGCGACATGGGCTTCTTGCGTCATGGAATTTGTGTAATTGTGCAACGATGTGCCACAAACATGGCCACTAATTATCCTCAATATCCATGGTTAAAACGTCAGTTGTGCAATCAAATCAAAATTTATTAACACAGAGATCCGTGGACAACTCACAAGATTCAAAGTAGTTATTCTGCCATGAATTTTTCAGTTAGACATATAAAGCCACTATCTATTTCCAAGGGGATGTATATTAGATTAAGACGTCTGTGACCGATCTGTGACCATTTTTGAAGCTTGTCCTAGACAAGTGTTTCATTGTCAGTTCATAGGTGTGAATTTCCAGGATAGTGTGTAAGCCAAGCATTGCTAATATCGCCTATTCATTGTGTTGCACTACAAGATCTTTACTATCCGATTGGTGTGACATGTAGTATTAGAGTTGAATTACAATAAAAATTATAATTTGATGTAAATTACAGTAAAAATTATGTGGTAAAAACTATAGATTTATGTAGTGAGTTTGCTATAAAAATACGAGTTACCATATTTTAAAAATAATTGTTTGGTAACATTTTTGATATATAAGTTGTAGTATATTATTTAAAATAAAATTATGGAATATCAGTTATAATAGTATTCCTTATACAATTAATAAAACAGAGTAGAGAAACAAAACTAAAGTAAATTAAATTGAAATTAAGAAAATATACTTAAATAAATGTATATAATATAAAAATGGTGTCTATATAGTTACATATAATTTTGTTGTATGTAAATATATTGTTACCAAAAATAGTTGCAGTTACTGGAACAATTTTTTAAAATAATTCAGTTGGATATAAGTTGAAAATTTATAACTGATATTAACAACAAGTGAAATCATTGTCATGTTCAAATTTTTATAAATTATTTATTGGTACCTTATTAATGCATAAATTGTAGTATAAATTTCATTAAAGTTATAAATAATAATATTTGTTATAAATAAAAAAAAAAGATAAAATAAAATAATTTTTTAAAAATTTTAAACGTAAAATGATTAAGTATATCTGTATATAGTAACATTTTTATGTATTTAACTTGTTATTATTACCAAACATAATTAAGAGTTATAATAAAAATAAAAATAAGAAAATTCATATAATATTTGATTAACAAATAAATAACTGTATTGGAGAACATTTTCCAACTAAAACGGGAAACAATATGGGACATAACATAAAAATTAACGTAGAAGTGGGATATTAACAAAAACAATTCTAAGAAATAACTAACTCAAACTCTAATACATGGAGTTTCCTTTGATGTTGATTTTGTTTTTAAGTTATCAAATTTAACGAAGGATGTAACTCAAAATTTTAAGTCAACTATAACACATTCTAACTCAATCATAAACTCAAAAAATTAAATCTAATTTATGAATAGTAACATTTTTTGAGTTATATAGTCATAACTCAAACTAAATCAAATATATTACATGTTACCAATCAAAGCTAAATTACCAAGACACCGAATTCGATATAGAATTGGACTAGGTAGCAAGTTATTACTCACCAGACAACTCCTTAACCCTCACACACTTTTTGCAGTTACCACACTTTTTGCAGTTACATATCATGACTACATCAATATTATTAATTTAGCAACATGACCTATTGAGATGGGGTTAGTCCAATTATTTACAACACAATTAACTGCCACTATTTAACCTACATATCTGTAACGATACTTGCATTTTATAACCTCCTCTCCCCTTTACTTCCTATAATTTCGGTATTAATTACTTTAAGTAGAAAAAGGTCACATATACATTACTATATGGCTAAGCAAATAATATTCGACTACAATCATTGTTAGCAAGCAATTCATCTATTATTATCAATAAAAATTAATAGCATTTATATTCATAGTATCAATAACTATATTTACAAATACATAAATAATTATTTATGGAATAGTCAAACTGCATCTAAATTTCATAAATAAATAGTATCTAGTTATATAACGTTATTACCTTCAATCTGTTATATAACATCATGATCATGAAAAATTAATATAAGTTTACAACTACAGTGGGCATTGGGTAAAATTTTACAAAACCCATTTTTAATTGCATACCAAGTTATTATGTGCAATAATAGCATTATAATATTATTGATGAAATCAAATCATAAAATTTTAATGAAAACATACAATTTTAATTTGTTTGGCATGCAATTAAAAATGTGTTTTGCCATGTTGTTGTTTTAATAGAATAGATTATTAACTTTTTAGGAATAAAATATAAAATTAGTATGTAATGACTATGACATAAGTGTACAGTTATGTAACATCACAAACTCAATACAAGTATTAAATTTTTTACTAATAATTTGGGTAAAATATTTTACACAAAAATGATTATAAAGAAAACACAAATTGATTACAGAGAAAAACACAAATATAAAAATTAAATTCTAAAAACATATGAAACAAATAATATACCCGCCTTTTCAATGGCGGGTCAGAATCTAATAACTCTTTAAACAACACACATACTAAAGAGTTTACAAACGACAAGACCCAAAGTAAAAGTAACTGCAGTAGGGGTTCTAAAAATTTATTTAAAATATATATAATAATTATAACTGAAATTAAAAAATAGAATTAAATTTCTTTTCAACAGATTTATTATGTTTTTTTCACTCATATTATTAAAACTGAAGTACAAAATAGAATTAACCTTATTTTTAACAGTTTTATTAGTTTTTTTTTTCTTATTTGCATTCATCTTAACCACTTTATTAATTGATTCTCTCCAAATAACTTGACAACATTTATTATAAAAGTACAAAACGAAACTTACTTTTAAATGTTTTACTATATATTTTACATTTTCACTTTTTAAAACTACATCAATAAATGTATTTACCATAATAATTTGACGTCATTTATTTTATTTGTTAATCATAATACTTCACATGTATTTAATTGTTTCATTAGTACAATAATTCAATCGATTAACAAAAATATTTGTTTGTTAACATAACCAGTTAAAATGGACACTCAGATACATATTGTTTTTTGGGTATCTTTTTTTTGCTTTAAAATTACTCTATTTGGATATTATAAATTTTTGGATGAGATTCGAATCAGATTCTTCCGGCTTTCAATATGTTCGTAGAAACCAAAAAATATCTTAATAATCAATATCTATATGTTTAAAACTATTATTAAACATTTTATAAAAATATAAAAATTAATCATGTATGGACGCGCATATTAAACTCTAGTTGGTAATTTAACTGTGGATAACTTAAAGTTATGGGAAATCTAACCCAAAAGATATTTTAGGTTGAGCTTCTGTAACTTTAAGATATCCATAATTAAATATTTATATATATAGGTATTTAAGAATTTATTGATGAAAATTTCTTTAAGAAAAATTGTCAAATAATATCATAGAAGATTTTTGAATAAATCAAATTTTTAGTGGTATTTTCCTGTTACTTTAAAATGCTCATAATTAAATTCTAATATATATATTTAAGAATTTACTACTGAAAATTGCTTTAAAAACAATTCTCAAATAATATTATAAAGATACTCTAATCCAAACTTTTGTTGGCATTTCCGTGAGCCATGAGCTACCTCTCGAACGAACCCTTAGGGATTCTAGTATCATTCATGACATCGATTTAAATATATAACATTGAATTCCATATTCATTTTCGAGTGCCCTGTCACCTGTGGCTTGGGTTCTATGGTCGAATGTTAACACTGGAACTAATCTTGATCAACTATATCAAAGGGAATAAGCCGAATGACCAGAAAATTAATGATAACGCAGATCAGTTGCCATTATTGCAAAACAAATAATAATTAACGGTATGGAAAATACTGATTTGCTGATCTTAGAAGAGAAATAAGTTTTGGCATAGTATTGTGAACTTCAAGAAATTATAGAAGAAAAAGAGTAGTAATGAATTATCAAGAGGAATGAAATAAAATAATTAATAATTAATAGAAACCACCAAATATAAGAAGAAGAAAAAAACTGTCAACCCTTAATTTGGGGTCATCCCAAGAGTGCCTTAATATGTTAGTTCACAGCGAAACCATTCACAAAATGTAATGTAATAAAATTTTCACATCTGCTATTCCTCCTATATATATATATCCAATCACTGACTACTAGTATATATATATCAGAGAAAGAAAAAAAACTTAAAAATTCATTCCAATTCTCTTATCAAAATGTGGACCAACAAGTTTGTCTTCCTTCTTACAGTTGCATGCATGGCCGTGTTCGGTACAGCTCAAACGTTGCCTTCGGTACCTGTACAGGACCCAGCAGATTGTTTGTCATCGCTGGAAGTTATTCCCAACTGTATCTCAGAAATTTTCGGATCGATAATAAGTGGACAAATCGGGACTATTGATCCCCCTTGCTGCCATGCCTTTTTGGGTCTCAATGCAGATTGTGTTAGTCAGACGTTTGCCTTCGCTCCCCTCTTCCCTCCAACTCTAAGGGATCATTGTTCTCGACAATCGTGATGCCGAATGTGCTATTAAACAGTGTTACGTACGTTTCTGCTTAAATAACAACTATAACTTCCATGTTGCTTTTAATAAAAACTATCAACTTCCACGTAAACCCTATGTAACCATCTTTATTCATATTTCCTGTTGATATAAATATCTTTCTGATAACAAAAAAAATAATAAAAATCTAATTAAAGGATCCGCACAAAGCCTATATATATATATGTGTTTCTCCTTTGGCTTTGGTTGGTATACTAGTAAAAAAAACCAAAATAGCTATGGTACATTCGTAGCAAATTCGTAGCTATATAGAGAGCTTGCTACGAATTTGCTACGAATGTACCGTAGCTATTTTGGTTTTTTCCATATAGCTACGAATTTGCTACGAATGTACCGTAGCTATTTTGGTTTTTTTTACTAGTTCACGTTGATACCATAAACTGTGACAATGTGTTACTATCTTGTTCACACAGTATCTTTGGGTATGCAAGTGTAAGTAATAACGGATAACTATATCATCCGTCTTTCGCATTGAGTTGGCCTGATTCAAAAGGTGGCCACCACATTTAAGCAAAAAATAAGATAATTGCTTGCAGATGCAGTATTGTAGAATAAATAGTACGAAAAAATGTATTAAATTATATCATTAAATTTAAAACCCCTTCATAATAATATTTGGATAGTAGTCGCAAAAACATAAAACCCCCTATAATAGACTATTTTGTTTGATTTTGCCTTGACTTTAAATGGCATCCTCTCATTATTGTTCACATATTCATCAATACACCAGTTTATGCTGATACCGAGATATTTAAGGATATTGTCAAAGTACAATCATCGGAACTAGATTTAACAGTTTTAAAATGTGATTATAGAATGCATGTTAGTTCTATAAATTGTAATTTAGCCAAAGGCTACGAGACCCTTAAGATGAGAAGGAATCAGTCCCTCACTACCCACGGCTAATGAATAGCCTTTAGACTAAAGACTGTAAACTGGAAATCGATTCATTTGAAAGCCCAAGTTTCAGAAAAGAAAAAAAATCTCTAAAATATCACATTTATAAGTTTATATCATAAAAATAGCCCCCAAAAACTAAAATGACCAAAATAGCATTTTATCTTTTGCAAACTCTAAACCCTAATGTCTAAATTAATTTATCATTGGGATATAAGTGTATATTTATCTCTTTTGATAAAACATTAAGTGATATTTTGGTCATTTTTATTCTTAAGTGCTATATTTGTGACAAAAACTTTTTTAGTCCTATTCTAGTCATTTTCTCATTTAGATATATATATATATATATATATATATATATATATATATATATAGTTAATTTTAAACTAAATATAAATAATATTTTATATAGCCATATAAGTTGTGGTTGTCAAAAAAAGATATATAAGTTGTGTATTTCGTTTTTTTTGGGTTGGTACTCAATTATTTTCTTCATTTTCAGAAATAGGTGTGTTGAATTGTGATATCCAATCTTTTCTAACTTTATAAGTAATAAGATGATTGAAATGTATTAGTTACTACCCATAATTTTTTAAGTATAAAATTTTAGTCATCTAAAATATTGTATAAATTAAATCAAAATTTAATATTAATATTTATACTGCAAAATAGTTTTCACTATCCAAACATTATTACTTTTTTTTCATCAAACCAAACATTATTACTAACTAAACATTATTCTTACACCGTTTATTTTACCAAAACCACACTTGTTTACATAATATACAAATTGCACTTCCATTCCTCACCGATTAAATTACTATATTCACAGTTGTTATTCACATATCTTAATTGTTTCATCTCTAAAATAGGGTTTTATTCGGTGTATTCTATAGAAATTCAAAGATGCAAATAAGATTTCTCTCTTATTAATAACTTGAGAAACTAAGCTCAAAACTCAAATTCTTCAAACCCTAAAACTCTCTTATAGAATATCACAACTCGACATTCTCTTATATAGAGTTTTCCTAATCCTAATCCTAATAAACAACACAAGTAGATAACTCCTAGCTTCGATGTTTATCCTATTTCTATATCTCGGTAGGATTAGGTTTCTTTAACTTGCTTTTTAAGCTTTATCCTTCAAACTTATCCCAACATATTCGAGTCTGAGAAGCAACGGTGACCAAAAAAAGAAATCGGACTGTGAAAGATATAAACTAAATTAATTTATAAACTGAATTAATAGTACCTTTATTGGGCCTAGTGTAAAATTGGGCCTATATTTTTATCCAATATTGAGAAAACTTGAAGACGAAGTTAAATGTGTTCTAACCGAGAGTCGTGAAAAAAAACAGGACCGTAAGATTGAACATATATCCGTTACTATTTAAAAAGATCCAACGATAAACAGAAGCATACCAAAAAAGAAATATTTCCACACTTTTTCCCTTTCTTTTAAAAGGTTTTCTCCCAATTCTTAAAAACAGTGAGATTTTCGATTTCTAGATCGTGAATTTGTTTCTCTTCCCTTCTTTATCTTCTTCAGTGTTTGCGTGAAATGGACGCAATCAAATAATTTCCTTACCATTCTTTTTAATTCTGTTTTAAGGTTTCATTCACTTCTCCAGATATCGATTTGTTTTCTTCCTTCTTTTTTTGTTCGTTTGGGTTTTGATGCGATTTTGCGGTTTTGTTTTAGGGTTTCAAGTTTCCTTAATGGTTTGCTATATGATTTTTTTTTTTTTTTTTTTTTTTTTTTTTTTTTTTGTAGTGATCTTTAAATCAACCTGGAAGCATGGAACCGTCGTTGAGGTACGGCTTTGTCTATACCAGATTGTATCTTTAATCTTTGAGTACAAAATCGAACTAAGAACATGAGCAATGCTTTTGAAAAATACGGTATTTAACTTAGATTTGATCTCTTGATCTTTCTTTAGAGTTAGGCTTCTTGGTCTTACCTAGCTAAAGACATTATATAAAGCGAACAGAGTAGATTTCTTATGTACCCTTGTTTCTGTATCCTAATATTAAGACAAATGTTAATTTTTTGGTTAGTTATAAGATTGTTCCTTTAACTATTTTCACCGATCAAGTAATAAAGTCTCTCACTTTTATATGTCTCTGTTTTTGTTTTCCTTTTTTTTTACAGAGTATTTGCGTGGGGAAGCCATTGTTGACGGTTTCCATTACGTCCATTACTCTGAAGTAAGTTTTGTTTAAACCATCTCTCTAGCTACTATAGCCTGAAATCAATTTTCAGACCCAAGATCTTAGGTAGCCAGTACTCTTGTGCTCTACCGATTCTTACATTTGTTTTAGTTTTTATCAAAAACCCGAAAACACCATAGGCTGCAGACACTAATCTAATAGTGTTCTGCCATGTTCTTATATTGGGACATTGTTACCTTGCGTGAAGCCTATAGACCCATATTCTTATTTGGGAAACATGGTCCTGTTGGTTGGTTGTGCATGCATGTCTTATTAGACGATGTTTTGGAGATGGAAAGTAAGATATATTTTTAGTACCCACGGCTTACAAAAAAAAAAATCATGAAACGGTACTTATACAGACAGAGAATGTGGATTTGTAGGGTGGATAAAAAGACCAAATGGCTTACTATATGTTTTGGGTGGATAAAACGACCAAAGGCTTACAAAATGTCTTTAGACAAAGGGTGATGTGCGAGCTTGTTGGATGGATAAAACGACCAGTGGCTCTGAGATTATTGGAAGGGGAAAAGAGATATCAAGGGTTTTTGAGGCAATGAATCTGTTGAATGGATAAAACGACCAATCTTAGATAAGGTCTGCAGACAAAGGCTATGAGATCCTTATAAGAATGAGAAAGCGGTCAACCGCTCAAAAAAGTCTTTTAGACTGAAGACTGTAAACTGAAAACCTTTTCATTGCTACAAAAGTGTAAAGAGATGGTTTAAACAAAATGTGTCTTTAGCTAAAGGCTACGATCCTTAAGATGAGTAAGGAATCAATACCACTACCCACGGCTTGAAAAAAAATGAACTTGTTGGATGGAAATCGATTCATTGCTTACCCACAGGTTCATGAAGAGTTACACACGATTTGAAAAGTCTTGATAAAAGAGACTGAATCTAAAAAAGGCTCCTTTACAGACAAAAACTGTGAACTGAAAACGGTTCATTGCCTAAGTAAGTAGCAATGGCTTTATGAAAAGTCTTTAAACAAAGAGTGGATATAGACAATACTACTACTAGTCCATAACCAACGGCTTGATGACGTGTATTTAGACAAAGACTGGTGACATTGTTGCGTTGCGTGAAGCCTATAGATGCATTTTCATATTTGGGGGACATTGTCATATTGGTTGGATGGATAAAAATACTAATGGCTTACTATATGTTTTGGATTGATAAAACGACCAACTTCTTAGAAAATGTCTTTACCCAGGGCTTGAAAAAGTCTTAAAGATAAAACTCTGAACTGGTTTTGAATCTGTTAGATGGAAATAACTACCCACGGCTTATGACAAAAATTCTTGATAAAAAGTGACTGAATTTAAAAAGGCTCCATTTACAGACAAAAACTTTGAAGTGAACGGTTCATTGCTTAAGTAAGTACCCACAGCTTTATGAAGAGTCTTTAGACAAAGACTGTTTCTAGCTAATATAATACTGCTACTACTACCCACGGCTTGACGAAGTGTATTTAGACAAAGACTGAATCTAGACAGTGTTACTATCTACAGCTTCATGAAGTGTCTTTAGAAAAAGACTGAAACTAGACAATACTACTACCCACGGCTTGATGAAGTGTCTTTGTCAATTTAAAGTACATGTATTGATTCAAAACGTAACAGTCTTAAAAAGGTGTTCACACAAAGACTAACGACCAGTTTTGGACTTGTGGGAATGGAATGTAGAATACAATCAACGACTTAACAAAGAGTCTTTCGGCAAAGACTAGACAATATTACCACCTACAGCTTTTTGAAGAGTCTAGACAAAGACTCTGAATATCCACCGATTCTGAAGAGTCCTTAGACAATATTGTTACCCACGGCTTGAAAAGCG